TAACGATACCGACACTGTCGTTACAAGTTACAGAATAGGGGTCCTGGGTTGCGTTCGAAAACCACTCGGGCGCACATCAGCATTGTTCTGTCCTTGTTCAATTTTTAGTAAGTATAACAAAGATAGAACGACGCGCTGTGCACCCGAGTAAAGTTTTCGAACGCAGTCCTGGGGCTCGATCCGCTCGATACCTCTGTGAAGTTGGCCGGATACCTGTGTGAAGTTAGAACCCCATTTTTGAAATTTTGAAATTCTAAAAGTTGTTCCGGGTTGTTTTAGATTTCTTCTAAATTGTTTCAGAAGATCAAAATTTTAAAATAAAAATGTTCGTGGAAAATTAATAAAAACAATTTTCTGACCTGGCGCCCCATTTTTCGAAAATCGAATTTTTCAAGGTTGTTTTAGTTGTTCTAAACATTGTTCCAAAGTATTAGTTTTATTGGTCAAAAACTTGAAAAGATATTGAAAAAAGAAAAATTTTGGAAATAATAGTTTTTGGCCATTTATTCGTAAACAAATTGACTTACAAAACTGTCGATTTAGAACACATTTATAACGTAGAACAACTCAGAACAAAATTTTTAAGACCAGAACAAAAACCTTACTTAACTCTTCATCGGAAATATTATTTATCGATTTTCTTGGTTAAAAATTTTAGGTTTTTGTTCTGGTCTTAAAAATTTTGTTCTGAGTTGTTCTAGCAGAGAACACGATAGTTTTAACGCGGGAAGCGTAGAACAAGATTTTTAACCAAGAAATTCAAAAAATAAATCTTTCCGATGAAGGTTAAAGTGCTCTTTAGGTTCTTGTTCTGGTCTTAAAAATTTTGTTCTGAGTTGTTCTACGCGGTTATAAATATGTTCTACATAAATCGACAGTTTTGTCAGTCATTTTGTTTACGAATAAATGGCCAAAAACTGTTATTTCCAAAATCTTTCTTTTTTCAATATCTCAGTTTTTGACTAATAAAACTAATACTTTGGAACAATGTTTAGAACAACTAGAACTACTTGGAACAACCTTGAAAAGTTCGATTTTCGACAAAATAGTCACTTTTTTTTTTAACGTGTGGAAATCTCAAACTACTGGGAACTCTGACTGAAGTCAGGATTACCCAGTAGCCCCCCGTTTGACAAGGGGGGAAGACTCTCTCGCCCTCCTGGTCGAGGAACGAGGGGAGTGCCGGATTCTTATCGGCTAAAACCACACGGATGCCAACGCTGCGCCTGACTGAGAGTCTGGGCGCCTGGGAACTTTTGATAAATACATCCAGGACTTCGTAGTCACACTTCTCTAGAATCCCGCGGTAGTCCTACTGGCTCGTATTGATCCAGTCGATTTTTAATGGTATTGCCATTTTAATGGTATTGATCCGATCGGGTCCAAATAATTCTGGAACGTACCTTGAACATTTTAAAATATAAAATAACTGCGGTTTTGTGAGAAATCAAATGGCACCATCTTGAAAAAAAAATCGTGAACGAGTACATGATTAACGGTCTTTAGGTACCTATAGAGGATACTTAAAATTCTTGTAGATGGCGGACCAAGCCCCATTTTAAGCAAGGTACTTGGCTGATATTTAACTCCAAATTGGTTAACATCAATAGAAAGAGAGATTTTTCATTTTTCACGTTTCCATCTTAGGGGAAAAGATTCATGATTGACCCCCACAGATATATATTATGGATGCGATCCACTTGGCGCTCCAAACGCTCTTAGAAACATTTTATCCTTGTTGTTCATAAAATGTTAAACAAGGACAATTAAAATAATGTTCTGAAGCGTTTGAAGCGTCTAGTAGATCACACCCTATATATATATGGTAAAAAAGCTGCGTAACGATCTGACAACTGTCGTAAGGAGTTACAGAATCCTGTCTCACCTCACGTTTTCAATTCGAGACAGACCCCAGAGACCCGCGATTGTCGTCACGATTCAACCTTCGTGAAGAGGTAACGGCAAAACACGTGAGGAAGAGAAGAAGGAGAAGAATTCAAATTCGTTTTTGATTGATAAAAGCATCGATTATTAACATTCGCGTTGTGTACGCAACTGCTAATTTCTTTAAATACCTAAACTATTAAAAAATCATAACTTGAGATACAGTCAAGTCGAGTATCCAAATAAGTTACTTCTCTGACGTCTTGAAGTTTAATGATTGTACATTAAATTAATGACGCATTTGGATATATGAATGCATGGTATATATTTGAATATACATGCATGAACATATGAAGAAAAATATCCGCAACTGTAGAAAAGAATAACAAAGGAATCTGTTTTCTTAAATTGCATCTTTTATCTATTTTTTTCTTTTTTCAATGGCTTCTCTCTTTAACAGCTATTGTCCGTTTTATTCTCAGTGCAGAAGGTATACACATGTACAATTAAAAGAAGGGCAGATTCTGCGATCTGTGAAATACATTGCTGTATTTAAATGCTTTAGAAATGCCCCGATATTGGATATTATCGCAAGTGATTTGAAAATAATTCAAAAATAATTCGGGAATATAAAAGGATCGAGAAAGAGGCAGTAGGATTTTATTTAAGGCTTACAATTAGTAGGAACCGTCTAATTTCAGGTCATTCGATTTGCGCCTATTGCTTTACCGTATGTGCGCCTAATTTATCGTTATTATTAATTATTATCAAGACATCGTTTACTCAATCTTGATAATATTAATAATTTATGGCTATCTTATCTTTGGTATCTCATTTTATATGTATGTAAATTATATACACGAATTAAACATTAACATTTAAACAAAGGTATAATAAGGCTCTGAACAAAGAATAAATAACGTAAATAGTGGGCTATGAGAGCCGACGCAAGATCTAATGTGCGAGGATATTATATTTAGAAATACTTAGTCAGTACATTAAAACTTTAAAGTAATTATTCAAACGTTTCAGCCCTAAATCGGGCCCTCTTCATTGATATTAGTCGAAAGCACGCATCCACGTGATGTACAAAGTTATCTTCGCGCGTACAAAGGTATCGCAACGGGCTAACTAACAAAGTAAACGGGCTAACGTAAAACGCAGGTACAATATTGGTATGGTTCGCATTATAAGAGCGTCAAGTTTGCGTTCCCGAATCTCCATGGGAGTATCGATAAGTTACAGCGCGAATGTCCTGCACGTATTCGCTCGACGATCGGCCGCGAGAAATGTCCTTTATTGCAGAAGGAGACGGAAGACAGCAAACTGTGGCCCGACAGAACTACAGAACATGCCGTGTCTGTTAGGAATGTTATAAGAGATAAACGTACAATTAACTTACTGCGTGCCACGCGAACCGCGGTCAAACGTCTCTATGGCGTCCATGGCCATTCTCCATCTGTCGAGAGCGATATGTATTCGTTGGTGTCTGAAACACGAATGCGAGTTCGAAGAAACACGTCGTGATCTCAAAAACACGCGGACGTATAATTGAAATGAAAATAAACAAACAGACAGACAATCGTGCTATGAGAATTCCCGGAGATATTTAAACAGTAGAACGATGTTTTATTTTATTAATTAGCGAGAGATATGATTCGCCTAAAAAGGCAGTATCTGTCTGTAAGTTGACACCGTTATGTTGCAAGCTGATATGCAACATTTCAGAGACTAAGCGCCTAATGTAGAACGGTTCTTTGTCGAGGAGTGCGGCATTATCGAAATCAAACGTGTGATTATGATCCACACAATGTATTTGCACCACTGAATGGATCCTCCAGGATCCACCCGCCTGTGTTCTCTGATACGGGTTCCCAGAAGTCTGCCGGTCTGTCCCGTATAAGAGGCTTCGCAATCAGAACAGTTGATGCGATAAACAACGTTGCTCTGAGAAGCATTATCCACAATATCTTTATGTACTTTGATGAGGCCATTAAGTCGATTAAAGCCATATAAGCTCAGTTTTTTATCCGTAATATTAGCGAGATGAGTAAATTTTTCGGAAATGCCTCTCACATACGGAACAGACAGATAAGACCTAGCGGTAGACTTATCTTCGTCGGGAGGCTCCGAGGGAGATCTTTTGAAAAGAGATTTAAGCTTTTCCAACGTAGTCCGGAAAACAAAGTTCATCTAACGGATAGCCATTTTGGTGGAAGATGGGATGGGATAGTCTGAAGGCTCTGTCAATCAATTTCATAACTACCCCCCTTTTTTGGCTATTCGGATGACTGGAGCAGAAATTAAGGTATCGTCCAGAGAAAGTTGGTTTGTGGTACCAATCGAATATCAATCTTTCATTAGTAGCTATTATGGTGGTATCCAGAAAGTTGAGAGTGTTATTGTTACTTATTTCAATTGTGAATTGTAGTCTGTTATGGATGGAATTAAAAATGTCGAGGATGTCTTGTAAAAATTCTAAGGGCGCTGCCGATGCAACGTCGTCGACATATCGAAAGTAAAAAGGTGGGATATATTTAAGTTGTTTTAAGGCTTTGCTCTCAAGGTCACGCATGACAATTTCTGCAACGTCAGGGGACAGAGGAGAACCCATAGGACTGCCGTGTGTTTGTCTGTAAATGACCTTATCGAAGGTGAAGTAGGTAGAGTCGAGCACAAACTTGAGAGCGGCCAAGAATTCTTCTCGTGGTAGTTTGGTATTCGGGGATATGAGATTCCATTGCCTGCATATGTTGTCAATGACTAGTTCTGTCGGAACGTTTGTAAAAAGGGAAATGACGTCTAAAGAAAATAGGACGAATCCAGAAGGAAACTCTTTATGGCCCAATTTTTCTACAAGTGTGAAGCTGTCCTTGATGCTGGATTCATTTATGGGCAGACTCTTGTGTAGAATCTTTTGTAAGTATAATAGGAATCCTCGCACATTAGATCTTGCGTCGGCTCTCATAGCCCACTATTTACGTTATTCATTAACATTTAATAATTAATAAATTATATAAATTGAAATATATATTATAAAGAAATATATGTACCTAATTTATTAATTGTAATTAATAAATTGCACATATAAAGTCACAGGATATCCCATTTTAAATGACGACCTCAAATATCTCTTGGACAATATATTTTAAAGAAAAATGTTTCAAATAAAAGTTGGAGGAGGCCAAAGGACGATCTTATTGTATCTGAGGGTATTTGAGGTCTCGTCATTTAAAATGGGACATTCTGTGTATATATATATATATATATATAATGGTATGTTTCACGCTTATTGTTTCTCGATAATCAATCGATTCGTGAAAATAACAATAATCAGTTCATTAAAAATGTATCTAAACGTCGTAACAATTCGACATCTGTGCGAATCTCATTGCAAATCCTGCGAGCATTCCTTCTGTCGTAGTCGATACTCCGTCGGTGTTAGCATGCCTCTGAAATACATTTCTCCAGTCATTCATGCGTACAGATTGCGTTAAATATAAATATATAAATCGCATTCTATTTTATTTCTCCCTCTGAGGATTCGATCATAATCTATTATCAAAATATCTTTCTTAGTCTTTCTGGAGTTTTTAAATACTCTGAGATAAATTGTTTTTAATAATGCCACATATATTATAATGCTTGTTAATTATTCTTATTATTTTTTTAAGTTAACCTCAAGTTCTTATAATCAATTTATATTTATCGATCGGGCTCTCGATTTAATCGATAATTATCTGTTACCTTAGAACAGTGTCGAAGGACACACACACGCCCTTATCACACATCCGCCTGTAGAGATGCCAGCATTCCTTTTCCTTGGTCGTTTGAAAATGTGGCTCCGATGGCAGTATCACTTCTGGTGGCGTTTCTTTTGCCGGCGATGTCTTTTTAGGAAATTGCTCGACCTGTATTTACGCCAAAAGTATATAAAATTAAAAATTACGAAACCATGCAGCATTATAATAATAATAGTAGTATAATAGCAGTAATAGTAATGTCCGTGTAAAGGCTCTGATGAAAATAAAAGAGAGTGTGGAACTCCGCATTATTATATTCTCGCTGAAGATGGTCCAAAATTCGGACCAAAACGTACGGTTTTAAAATTTGATTTATCATAAATAAAGGAGTTAACCTTTGTGCACCGTCAACAGCGCTTGGCTCTTACTTAGCCCGTTCCACACTCTCAGTAATAGTAACAATATTGCTGTAAAATATAGCACATAATTCTACAATATGTTATACTGTGAAAAATTTGCTTTAATTTGATTCCATGTGATTCCTTTACTTTTGAAAGCGGTGAATCAATCGATGGAGTTGGAATCGCGACGAGATTGACTCGTGGTATCACGAGGGGCGTCCTCTGCTCTTTTATTTCCATCGGTCCATTATTCGTCCGTTCCGCTATTCTGCGAACATCGAAATCACATTTTCTTCTTCCTCTTACTTTCCCTTTTCTTGTACAATCACGCGGTAGAGTTGCAAAATCGCAGGATCGGCAAATTACGATAAGTCTGTACTACGAATACAATTTTAATCGAGCGCGTCCGGACAGATCAACTTTAACGTGTTGACTGCTAATCGCATATGCACTTATATAGGTAATATTAAAATACATAAAAATCTTTAAAGTTCTTAAAGAAATACCTCCTAATCTATGTATTTATAACGATAAAAAGATTACGAATAGATAATAATAGTATAATAGATTCCTTTAAGAAAATGAGAATAATATAATATGGCATTATTAATGAAATAACTTACTTATAATTAAGAATTATGAGAATATTTTGATAACGAGGAACACGAAAGGGGTAGGGGAGGAAGAGAGGGAGAAGGGGAGAGGGAGAGAAAAAGAGTGAAAGAGTGTTCTCGATTTATAAAATATAAGATTGCGAGAATGCATATTCAAGAAATTGCAGAGTTTAGTATCGGTTTCTGAACTTCTTCTGAACTAAGAGTGCATTCCATTTCACGCATGATACGCATAATGTGTCATTTGTTGTTCACCGAATGTTAAATGATGAATGATAGATAAATGATGAATTATGCACATCATGCATGAAACGGAATGCACCCTAAGTAAACGATGTACGCGTCGCGGATGACATCGAATATGATGAGCGAAGTTTGACGGAGGCACCAATCGAAGGACGTACCACGATCCGCGGGATGCGAACATTCACGGCCGTACCAGTCCGTTACCAACGAACTCCTTCCTCCTTCTCCTCCTCCTCCTACTCTTTTTTCCTCCCCCAGCATCGTTACATCGCCCCACTTTATTTTTTCGACGTCAGTATCATAAATCGTCGACCAATCGAACTTTTTATCCTTCCTCTCTCCTCCCTAAGCTTTATATATAGATTAGATACGACGATAGCTCGATTTTTGCAAATGGATGGACTTGATTTAGCAATTTCTCCCGCACGTCTGTTTGCTTTTGCTATCCTTTTAAGAGCTTTCGTTATTTTTGCAATTTTGCGTAATGCTTTCATTCTTAGGGGGCAAAATTTCTAAAATAATAATATTTGTCATCCGAACCATAGTTAAATAATAAATGACGATTGACGGGTTAAAATAAGGAGATATAAAATAGCGAGTTATTTCGGTATTTATAATATCGATAATACCGTTAGTCATATCATAATATAGAAGGTTTTATTGTATTATAACATTATAACTGAAGACCTCACTCACATCGGGCGGCTTGGTGTGCTGCGCGTTCGCAGCAGCTTCCGCTTCTTGTCGTGCAGATCACCGATCGGTACCGCCAAGCATCTCTTCTCGCGATCAGTCAGCGGTGCCTCCGGTACCATCCTCTCGGCATCCTGTGGAATTAACACGGGATCGATGGCCAGCATCGGCATCGTGACGGCAACAGTTCTACTGTCCTGCTCGTCCAAGTTCTCACCACCGTTTTCATGAGCGACGTTAACGGTGAGTCCGAAACGAGGAAGTTGAACGAAGTCGCTGACGATTCGCTTCTCCTCCTTCGTCGGCTCCTCGTCAAACGAGTCCCTCTGGAAGGAAACTGTCCGGCGAATTAGCCTGTCGCTTTGCAAATTTTTTGCTCGTTTGATTCCCTAGGGCCAAAGATCGAGACGAGAAATAACGTTTGATACCCGGTGACTCGGTCTACCGCGAAAGCAAATCGATAATGGGCGATATCGTTTGGCTCAGTTGCTGGCCAACGGCTGGAACCGGGTTACTCGGTAAATAGGCTCGATTCGACCTATGTGATATTTGTAAAAAGCCTAAACTCGATCGTACACGACAGGCCTATTAATCCGACACGATCAATCACGATGTTTCCGCATAGACTGCACGATCCCGTCCTGGGTGGTCCATTATTAGTACAATCGGTAGTTCTACATAAAAAATGGTTCTACAAAAAAAATTAATAAGACATACAGAATAAAAGCTTTTTTTATATCTTTAAACTCGCTTTAAACCGCCGATTTTTATTACAATATTATAATATATAATTACAAATTTAATGAATTACATACAGAAAAAGGATTTTGCTATATTAGCAAATCATTCGTTACTATAGTGTCAACAAACATTTGGTTTGCTGCGAGAGCTAATTAATTTAGCAATAGTAGCAAACCTTTTGTTACAGTAGCAAAAAGTTTGCTACTCGCAGTAAACCAAATGTTTGTTGTCACTTTTTTTCTTCGTGTATGTACTTAAAAAATTATATATACAGGGTATCCCATTTTAAATGCCCTAGGCAAATATCTCGAAAAATATGGAAAATACGGAAAAATGTTTTAGACTTAAATGAAACGCCTAATTTTTATTGCATATTCTCGTAGCCTTTGTCAAAACGTTTTCAAAACACAATAATTATACTTCCTTTCGTTAAGAATGTTCTGAGATATTTCAAATTTTGTTAAGATTTTTCCAATATAAGATATGAAATATTTCGTAAAGTATTCACTTTTCAATGACTTTACCTTAATACTTTTATACATAGAATAATGAAAGAAATCGATTGTTGTAAAGAAAAAACAGAAAAACATTATTTTAAAAAATTTGATTGTATTTTGTAGACGCATTTATTTTACAAAATTGCAAATGTAAAAATTAATATTATTATTCGATTCCTTTCATTATTCTATGTATAAAAGTATAAGGTAAAGTCATCGAAAAGTGAATACTTTACGAGATATTTTATATTTTATATTAAAAATATTATGATAAAATTTGAAATATCTCAGAAAATTCTAGACGCAAGATAAACTTTATTATAGTGTTTTGAAAGTAAAAAAATGGGAGTTTCATTTAAGAAAACATCGATTACATTGATCTGGCTTTGAAAAGATCACTCAAGGTCAAGTCCATATTTTTATCATGCGATTCCTTTCAAACCATGCAACTTTTGTCTGAACATTTTTCCCTATCTTCCATATTATTGAGATAGTTGCCTGGGGCATTTAAAATAGGACATCTATATATGTATACATTTTATGTATATATACTGTATATATATTCTTTTTAGGGCGGTACAGGTTCGAACTCTGGCTAGAGTAATATTTTTCGCAATAAATTCTTTATAGTGAATTAAATAAGATGATTATTAGTATCAAAAGTTATATCGATTATCGCTTTAAGTATGTGGATTTACTATTCCAACAAGAAGCTGTGTTTTAAGACCGACAAAAGATTGGCGCACAGCTTACTGAATTGGAAAAAGTATACAAAATTCACACAGAAATATTATTATTAGTCATCTAGCCTGAATCGAAAAATGCCACCTTCTTTAGTTAATTGTGTTATATTTTTTTATTTTGTTATTTTCTGATATAATACACAAATTGTAATTTATTTTATATCCTTTGTTTCTTCTTCTCTTTTTATCATATAATAATAAATTTTATGGTATATTTAAAAAAAAATTTAATCAATTTCCTAAATAATTGTAAACTATTCGGATTGAAGTTAAAAGAATATTTATGTAAAACAGAACAAATTAATAAAAAAAGTAATTAAGCGATTTTAGATTTTAATCATTACGAATAATAAAATAAAGAATTTCATTGATCACAAGTGAACGCAAGTCGAGACGCAAGTGTTATATAAACAGAAGTATCCTGGCTATGTGCGGCTCGCGTGTCTCGTGTCTCTCTTAATTAGTCGGTTCAATTATAGTTCTACGCCTCTTCGCCTTACTCGTTACCGCACGCGTATACGTTATCGGATGTTATCAATCGCGATCGTAGATAAATAATTTATAACGCAACAAGCAAAAATTATTTTATCCTCAATTAACAACGGCGAGAATTTCAAGAAACGAGAAATTTCTAAGGAGCCTCTAAGTCCATCGTTATTTATTTATCGAACTTGTATAATTTGTATATACCGGGTGGTACAGAGAACTCTACTGGACTCAATACGGGCCCCGGACCAAGAATTTAATATAACCATCTATTAGTCCCTTTCGAGCCCTACAACTTTTATCTGAAACATTTTTTCATTAACCTCCTCCTTTATGAGTTATTCGACCGTACTGTTTCAAATGGGACACCCTGTATTGCATATATACACACACACACACACACACACACACACACACACACACACACACACA